TCCAACCCCCTGCCCTGGGCAGGGACACCTCCCACCAGCCCAGGTTGCTCCAAGCCCCGTCCAACCTGGCCTTGAACACCTCCAGGGATGGGGCAGCCACAGCTTCTCTGGTGCCTCACCGCCCTCACAGTGAAAGATTTCTTCCTGATATCTCATCTAAATCTCCCCTCTTCCAGTTTAAACCGTTCCCCCTCGTCCTATCACTCCCCTCCCTGATGCAGAGTCCCTCCCCAGCTCTCCTGGAGCCCCTTTAGGGTTTCCCTTTAGGGTCTCCCCGGAGCCTTCTCTTCTCAGGGCTGAACACCCCCCACTCCCTCAGCCTGTCCTCACAGCAGAGGGGCTTCAGCCCTCTGATCATCTCCGTGGCCTCCTCCGGACCTGCTCCAATAGGTCCATTTACTGATGGTTAATGGAATTTAAACTTAAATCCTGCTTTTTTCTTACCTCCAAACAGAGGAAAAGTTAGAATCGACATTTTAAATGCACTAGGAGTCTGAGAAATGTGTTAGCTAGCAATGTGTAATTGCTTCTATTAACTCACAACACATTAGAAAACACTTTTGTTTCTAAAGGACAAAATAACTTATAAACCGTAACACACCAGAGGTTTTGGCTGTGCTGTTAGGTTTGGTCTGCCTCAAAGAGCAGATCAGTAAGCAAAGACCAAGTTGTTCTTTAAATTCAAAGAACACAATTCAGAGTATTTGATCAACCCGTTTATATAAACTGGAGTAGTTCCAAAATAATGTAAATTGGCATCACTCCTTTGACATCCTTGAGGCAGTGTCAATGGGCTACAGGTGAATCTCTAACAAATCCCCTCGAAGACATAAACCGTCCATTTTGCAGTAACACACTCACAGAGCTCATTTATGGCATCCTGGAGAGTAACAGGACTCACGCAGCAGCGGATACCGTCGCTGTGGATGTGCTGCTTCTGAAGAACAGGCAGGGTTCGTTAGCCGAGGTCCTTCTGCGCTGTTACTCACAGCCCGTGGTCATGGCTGCAGCTGGAGGCCAACCCTCGGGTTCCAGAGATGCGAAAACGAGAGGTTCCCTTTTAGATTTTGATTACAACCTTAGGACAGGAGAGGAGAAAGTAGAAAAATTACCTCATCGTTGGGTGATTTTGTCACTGCACCTTTTCAGACACTAGTTCAACATTAAGCGGATGCAAAATTGGGGGGGAGGGGGGGGATATAATTTATTTGAAAGCTCTTTCTCGTTCTTTTTGTACCAAGGGTGAAATGCTAAAGCTCAGGATTGGCAGTTTTTTAACATGAAGTTATTTCTTGTCAGAAACATGCCCAAGTCAGGCCTGCCAGAAAGCTCTGAGTTTGCAGCTCCGACAACTGACTCCCCCCTCTTCTTCAATCGTAAGCACGTTATTGGAAGAAAACAAGCCCCGGCAGAAAAGGGATGAGAGAGAGAAACAGCAGAAGCTCTTAGTGGAGCTGACATCAGATAACCTAATGTCTGTGCTTCTCTCTCTCTCTGCTTGAGTAAGCTATAAACAGAGCTGTGACAATTTATACCAATAAAATGGAAATGTTATCACCATTATCTGAAGTATGCGCTTGCATCATCTACCAAATAAAGACATCAAAGACATTAACAAGACACTCCCTTCGGAATTAAAAGCTTCAATTCTATTCTGGTGTATTTACAGAACCAAGTAATTCACTGCTTGCATTTTGGAAGTTTCTTTCAACTGGGATGGGAATTACTGCTAATTTCCCAGTAGCGGGGTTTTTTTGTTTCCTTTTTTTTTTTTTTCCCCCTCCGCAATACACCCTGCAAGCTACCAAAGCTGTGCCTGTAAACCTGCAAGATCAGAAAGGTGAAAAAAAAAATAAAATTGCCCAATGTCTGCAAAGTGATGCACTGTGGCCAAGTCTTTCCCAAGGCCCGGAGACGTAACAGGCTGTGTCAGGAAGAGTTTCTGCGCTCCCGCTTTGGCCCGAAGCCTTTCTTACAACACCCGGGGCTGCCATGTGGGAGGAAACGAGTTCTCGCCAGACCTGTCCCTTTCCCCTACTGCCCCTTGAGTAGAAGAAAAGGGGATTGTCATGCGGGTTGTCCTTGGACTACACAAAGACGGGTGTCCCTGTTCTCAAGTGTAAGGTCTGTAAGTCCCTTCCCGCATGGGGACTTGCTGGTGACAGGAGCTCTGCTCTAGTGGATTTTGCTACCCAAAGGATTCCTCAGTGAAAACAATGTTTTGTGTAGATGTTTCTAATCTCTATATTTGAGTATTACAGATGCAGATGTGTTTTCCAGTACTCTATGTATATTTAAAACAACTTTCAACAATTATTCGAAGAAGGCATTATCAAAGACCAAAATGTTAACATTCTTTTTAAAAAGCGTAGATGATTGCAGAATGCTTTTAATAAACTGACGTGGTCCACAAGGAGTTAATTCTCTCCTGGATTTACCAGTTATCAGGAAGATTGTCTTAAGAAAGTTCCTGGTCTGACACTCTTTTGCTGTCCCCTCCCTTCTTTGTTCTCTTCCTTCTTTCTCCGATTACAGTTCCAAAAACAACACCCAATCTCCTGAGGTCAATGGTTAATATTCCCCAGTGTTTATATAGTCTCCAGCAGCAGACCTCAGGCCTTTCAGCACTGGGCCAGCTCCACCACCATGGCCGGCTTCTTGCAGATGACCCTGGCCTTCAAGAAATACCTCATCATAGTGCTCGTGCCCCTTTTGTCTCTTCCTCTGCCTCTGGCTGTTCCTACCAAGGTAAGAACTTTTTCAATTGAATTTGAGAGCCAAATCTTCCCTTAGAGTTGTCCCTTTTAAGCGACGGAGCTGAAGAGAACATGCAGATCCTTTCTCAGAGGCACCTCCTTCATTTATTGCTTGAAGATCTTTTCTTTTTTTTTTCTGAGCAGACCCCTTTGACTAGCGGTAGTGGGGGAATATAAAAGCAATAGGACACAGATGGATGAGCAGATACATCTGTGATTGCATTGTCTAGAAGAATGCTCAGTGACATGCAATTTTGTACCTTTTGCTTTGCATCAGACTGATACAGCAAAGGACTTTCTACGCTGAAGCTCACACTTGTGAACCTAAGTTACAATATAAGGCTCAATTTCAATCCCCCTTCTGATTTTCTAAAAGTATCCAGTCCACATCCTCTTCTAATTTTTTGCTTGTTGTCGTTGCCAGATAGAAAGGCATTTTTCTTGGTCAGAGGGACGAGGCATTCTGATACTTCAGGACGAAATAATATGTATTTCACTCTTTTTTAAACGTATTTCTGTAAGAATCTTCCCAAGCAACCATTTAAAATTTAAAACGTCAAGTTTTGGAAGACACCTTGCTTGAGAATCCTTCAGAAAAAGTGAACTACGAAAACCTGTAGCAGGTATTTCTGAGACATCGATGGTTTAAAACGCAGCACTGTGAGCAGGCAGACTGCCAGGGTTCTGCTGCTTCTTCGCTCCGGCTTATTTATCCCACTCCCGATCTCTTCATGCAGACAGATCTAATCTCTGGTCTCTTGTTACAACGGCAGCACCATTCAATAGCTAATCCCAATCCACCTCGCCTGTCACTGCTCTTCGCGTGTCGAGTCCCAGCTCTTTGCTCTGCCCCTCTCCTCATCCCCGCGACTCCCAGTTCCTGGTCTTTTCGCCAAACTCCATTCTTCCCTCCACTAATTCTTCCCCCTCGTTTTGTGCCGCCTGTCCCAGAGCTCCTTCTTCCTCACAGCTCTTTTTTTCTGAGCGTTATCAGAGACTTCGGAGCTATGACCAGAGGATTGCAGGCAAGAATGAGACAGCGGCACCCGCTTGATGTGAAGTGTGCTAACTGGTCAGGCGTGTCCTCCCCGTCCCTTGCTATGCAAATAAAATAGCTTTAACACTTAAAAGCTTACTAAGAAGAAAAACAGAAAAAGTACTTTTTTGCTAGTTAACTTTCCACAGGCAAAAGAATTACTGACGTTAAAAGAGATCTTGATCGGAAAAGTTCTAAGTAGCCAGAGAGAGAGATTTTTTTAATTTTTTTTTTCTGTCCTGAGGCCACGAATTCAAACTCACTTGCCAGAGTCATTGTTACCATACAATAAGTCCTCAGTATTATCTGTGGAATGATTTGGCAGTCTTGGTTCCGTTCCTCCGGTTTCTCTGAGTGACTCTCTCTGGTTTCTATGTAGGCAGCTACAACACAAAAATTTAAAGTGTCCTGCGCTTTGCCCTTCGCAACCTGTAAGAAGGTTTCATGTGTTAGAATTGTGCCTCGTGGTACTGCTGAGCAGGAAAAGCTGGTACCTCCGCACACAGAGTTGTAAGCAGACAACTTATGGGATGGAATGTCACATTTTTCTATGCTGTTCAGCTGTTAACCTGTCCTATAATGACATAGCACTGGACACTAAGCTATTACAAATGAGAGCAAACAATGCTGAAGATTTTGTCTAAAGACAAAGGAATGTCCTTACAGCACAACTGACTTTGCGAAAAGCCTTATTCCAGCTTTTACCCTGAGTCTGTTCATAGCAGGCTGGAAGAGAATAGCACTGTGCCTGTGATACACGTTCCGAAGCCCTGCTAGGGTCTCTCAAAAAGCACCCACCGGCGTCTCTTAATAACAAAAATGGGAGGAAAATGATCATCAAAATGGAAAATTGCTATCAATGCTTGATGGGATATATAATTAAGGTTCTTACTGCTCTCATTCAAAAATAAGGCTCAAAAAGGCACCTTTTAATCTCTTCATGAATCTCTTTCAGCTTTACTTCTCCAACACTGCTGCTTTGGTAATTTACCACCCAGATTGCTATCTTTTTCTTCTTTCCTCCAGATTACCCAGCTCCCCTGTTCATCCCTTCCCTTCACCAGCTCTGTAACTCCCATGCCATGTTCAGAAGTCCTGAGCGTGGTCTGAAGCATCACAGGTTTGATCCTGCCCGCCGCTAAAAGCTCCTTGGTTTCATCCTCTGCAATCTGGCCATGACAATTTCTATCTTGTCATTGTTTCCTCAATAAGCATCGCTACATTGGCATTCATACTGTCCCGTCTATTTTAGTGGACATCCTTGATCCAAGACCACGCAACCACTTTTTTTTTTTTTTTTTTTTTCCTCCCTTCGGATTTGCTGGTGCCCATTCCTGTGCTAGTTCCAAAATGAGGAAGCTTGTGTAACCTGCAATGTTGCTTTTCCTTGCTTTCTTCATCAGCCCAGCCATTTGAAAAATCTGCTGGGACACGTTATTTTGAATCTTTTTAGTGCACGGGACTGAGTTAAATATTTTTACATAAAATCTGGAGTGGTTATCCAAAGCAGAACTAAATCAATATTTTCTCAGAAAAAGAGTACATGAAATAGGGAATCATGCGTGCTTCGAAGAAACAAGTCAAAGGCAGTGGAAGCTGTCACCAGTTTGTCAGTGAGCCTCTCAAAGTCTCTAATAAGTTAAAAATCCAATGAAAAATAGATAAAAGTAGTTAGAGCACAAGAAATCCAGGCTGTTGAAATTAGCTGGCGTTCACCTGGGCCATGTCCTGAACCGTGCGGAGAAAAAGGTGGAGGACCTTTGACTGGGTCAGTAACTGTTTCTGCAGCTCAAAGACAGAAATATATAAAAAGAAAGTACCACCGTCAGCAAAATCAAGAAGTCCGTGCAGAGACAGGCAATCCCTTATCGTGGAGGGTTCAAAGTCATCGAGTCGTTCCTGTCCCCGAGTTTCTTGTTTGTCCCCGTTGCAGACCCCGGTCTTTTCCTCAGGGTTCTGACAGGGCTGTTGAACCATTTGTCAGTTGATTAGGATCTGCACAGGTAGGAGGACAGACGGGAAAGAAAGAGAGAAAATAGCCTTTTCTCAAATCCCTTTATCAGGCAATGGATATAATTATGGGCTGTTGCCTTCCCAAAGCCTACGTGAGGGGTACGGTCTGTTCTGACTGCATGTACTCTTCTTCTGCCAGGAGGCCCAATGCGGTTATGTTATCATAGTGATGGCGCTGTTTTGGTGCACGGAAGCTTTGCCCTTGGCCGTCACGGCTCTCTTTCCTGTCCTGCTGTTCCCGCTAATGAATATCATGGATTCAACAACAGTAAGAGATCTTGCTCTATATATGTTTGCCTCTGTATTTATTGGTCAGCGTCTCTTATTCTGGGATTATTTCCAGGGTGATTTCCAGAGTGTGGCTCATAGAAGAGAAAATTGCACTATTATTACACAGGGAATCGTCTGTCCTCTGAACGGAACAGAACTTGCATGAGCCTAGAGTGAACTCTGGGTGGAGCTGCTAATCTGCAATCGAAGCAAACTCACTAGGTCATAGAACCACAGAATGGTTCGAGTTGGAAGGGACCTTGAAGATCGTCCCGCCCCACCCCCCTGCCCTGGGCAGGGCCACCTCCCACCAGCCCAGGTTGCTCCAAGCCCTGTCCAACCTGGCCTTGAACCCCTCCAGGGATGGGGCAGCCACAGCTTCTCGGGGCAACCTGCCCCAGGGGATCACCACCCTCAGAGTGAAGAATTTCTTCCTAATATCTAATCTAAATGTCCCCTTTTTCAGTTTAAAACCATTACCCCTCATGCTATCACTACAGGCCCTGATGAAAAGTCCCTCCCCATCTTAGATTGATTGCACCTTGGTTGCTGTGTGCTGTCAACTTTGGGACAAGATCCTCCTGCAGAAAATGCCTTCTCTCTTGGCTTCTTGTCACTGTTTTCTCTCCCTTGTTCCACGTTACAGGTCTGCCGGGAGTACCTGAAGGACACCAATATGCTTTTTATTGGGGGACTGCTGATGGCCATCGCTATTGAGAACTGGCACCTGCACAAGCGCGTTGCTCTGAGGGTCTTGCTTATCACTGGTGTCAGGCCAGCCCTGTGAGTAACAGTCGTGAAAATGCCGTGGGACAAAGGACTTCATGGCATTAGTTCCTCTCTGAGAGCTGCCTGTAGTCTCCTATGGGAATCTGCAAATCATACCCTACAAGTGCTTTTCTACAGCCCAAGCGAGCTAGTGCCTGAGCAAACCTTGCAAACGGGGATCCTTTGGCGTGTCACAGACCTGGTACCTCCCTTTTGAATTCCAAACGGCTTCAGGAGGAGAAATAGCAACAAAAGAGTCGGTTCTGAAAAGAGAAGGGTGCTGCTTGGCTTGGCCAGAAGCACAGCTTTGGACAATCAGGAAAGACTACAGCTGAAACATAGAAAACATACCCCCTCTCTAACTGTTATACTGATTGCAAAGGGAAGAGAAAACATGGGGATGCTTGTTTTGAAAACAACAAATGTTTACCAGACTAGAACTTTAAGCTATACAGAGGCTACATAGCCCTATTTCATTTGTCCCGGATCATGAGAAGAGGGAATACTGAAAGAAATTACACAGCAACAGAATAAAAATGCGTACCAGATAAAGCCCTTTTCATCTAACATATAATCTACATCTCATCCAAAGAATAATTTTGAGACAAATAACATAGTAATACTGAAACAAGGATTAGAATTTTATATGAGTAAGAAGAGAATCTAGAATGACAGAGGTGGGATAAAATGACAAAAAAAAAAAAAAAAAAGAGAGATCATCTTCCTTATGGCTTAAACTGATTGCCATTTGGGATCCAATTCAGCTTGCAATTCCCCTTCAAAATGTATTATAATACATTAATATATGTTATTGAGATGGCATGTCTTCCTCGGAAGCGTGCAGAATAAGCAGGATACTGACTAGATAAACTCTGTGCTCCAAGATACCAGTTCCCACTTTCCTAGTCATAAGAATGTAAAAGCACAATGGGCTGAAATTGCAAAAAGAAAAAAATATGTTAAATCTTACTGTGACATTGGCAAAGCAGACTGGGGTAAGAAGAAGTGCCAGGTGTGAATTGCCAAGCATTTTCCAAACCCAGCATTTGTAACCTAAGCTTTGCAACAACAACAACAACAATAAAAAACATCGCAGCCTGAAGTTCTGAACTGTTGGGTTTTTTTCCCAAACCTTTTCATTTCAGACTTCTCATGGGTTTCATGGCTGTGACAGCCTTCCTCTCGATGTGGATCAGCAACACCGCCACCACCGCCATGATGGTCCCCATAGCACAAGCAGTGTTGGAACAGTTGCACAAGTCCGAAATTGAGTCTAGCAACACAGCTGGCCAAACATCTGAAAACATCAACAAAGCCTTTGAACTTCAGGAAGAGCCGACCAAATCAGATCTCTCCAAAGAAGCAGAGGAAAAAGGTGAGTGGGTTATGGGTGTTTTTCTCTTTGGGATAACGGAGGACGACCCGATGCCTTCTTCACTGTCATTACAGTCCCTAGTAAATTCTAAAAGAAGAATGTACATAAAGCATCCCCACTGGGTCAGATGAGGCTCTTCCATGAACCAGACGAAGGCACAGTAAGATCCACTGACTCGGCTGGAGTTAGAAACAGGTTGAAAACATGAAGCGACGATAACTAACCAATAAAACCACAAAATGTATAAATTCTCCATTAGCTGAAGCCTTTACATTAGGCTTGATATTCCCCTCTATATTTATGTTGGTTCAATTATTATCTACTGTGTAATTTACCAGAGAGCAGGGAATTCCCAAGGGAAAATTTCTGGCCTATTTCATGCCAGAAGGTTAGGGATTAAAGTGATCTTTCTAATCCAAAGATACACAATCATGCAACAATACCTCTTTACCAGCTGTCTTGCCCTCTTGCCGTCTCTGAGACAACTCAAGTGTTTCGGAGTGCAAATCTCAGGGCCAGCAGCCAGGTGCTGGTACAGAATGAGTTCCCTTCAGTCCAACTTCTCTGACTCTGTTGTACCTCCTGAATTCTTACCTCTCTCCCCGCCACGTGCAGTTCAGACATTGCCCGAGTTCACCAAGCGGTACGGTTGGACTTTGTCACGCATTTCAACTTCTTTTCTCCTGAAAAACTGCTCTGTATCAAGGCAACCAGTGAAAACGGACAGAAGATCAAAGAATTAACAATGCCGGCCTTAAAATGAGGAAATCTGGTTCCTTCAGCTTTGAGTCCTTTGTCTCCTAGCCTTGAAATACCGAATTGCGCAGGCACGAGATCTTTCCTATCCACTCTACCTTCTGTAACTCTTTTGTTCCTCTCTTGGGACCTAGGTAACAGCCATGTCCTGACAGTCGAGGAAGACAGAAAAAGGAATGAAAATCTGATAGAGGAGAAACACAAGAAATTCTGCAAGGGAATGTCTCTCTGTATTTGTTACTCAGCCAGTATTGGAGGGATTGCAACTCTGACCGGGACAACACCGAATCTGGTACTGCAAGGACAAGTTGATGAGTAAGTCTGGTTGAATTCGGGATTACGTACCCGCTAAACTGCATCGTTCTGCTACAGCTGACTTTCAGCCAACACAGGCATGGAAAATATCAGTTTGGTAACTTTGTTGGGAAGGTAGCTTCTCTTCCTTAGTGGGCCTCATGGTACCTCCTCTTCTTAATCATCGATGAAATACAGCAGAGAGTGCAGAATTTTGGATGCTAACCGCCATCTACATTTCACAGGCTCTTTCCCAACAACGGCAACATCATCAACTTTGCCTCTTGGTTCTCCTTCGCCTTCCCCACCATGATCGTGTTACTGGTGTTGACGTGGATTTGGCTGCAGATACTGTACCTGGGCTTTAAGTAAGTTCCCTTTACACACCGTAACCCAACTGACATGCCGGAGAGCAAGCACCGATCACACGGTATAACACAAGAGAGACTTTTGTCCATGAGCCTACGCTCGAAAGTCAGACAGCAAGTGACAAAGTCCTCACACACAACAGAGATGAGCAGAACAGCGTACTTAGCTGTTAAAATACTGCAACTTTTCCTCTGAGGAACCTGATCAGAGCCCAGCTAAATGTACTCTGTAGCTGAAAATAGGAAGTTATAACTGCATATAACCCGTTCTGCAGCATTGCTTTCGTGCCCTGAAAGATTGTTGAGCTTCAAATCAGGAAACTGATTTCTGCATGGAGCTGGTGAATACCTTTGCGACGAGAGTTGCTACAGACCCAGAGGACGGGTGCTGTGCCAGTTCCTGCCACTGATATCACCCCATACCCTCACCTTGAGTTACCGACCTGTCCGATACTCCGCCTGTCACTCTTGTATTATCCCCAACCTCCTTTATTTTAAATGGAAAGAGCGCTATAATAGCTGGAACGGTACTTTCATCTTCAAATACCCCTTTTAAAATTCTCCTTTTCTTGTAGTTTTAAAAAGCTTGGCAAGTGTTTACCTCCTGGTGATCGTGTAGCCTTGTCCATCACACTAATGTTGACGTTATTTCGCAGTGTGTCCTGACAGCGTGCCTGTTTATATTTAGATCACGAGGTTTTTGGGGTAGGAAGTTTCTTTCCAACCATCTTGGCAGCACAGAGTACAAAGCAGTTACTATCCAACACCTATGGCTGCTGATGCTGCAATAATATTATTATTATTAATAATAATAAGTATAATGTCTATATGCATATATGAATACATATATCTTAAAGATGATATGACTAAGTATAAAATTTGGATTTTTAACTCTAAGGATATCTGGCAAATTTCTCTGATATTTCTTGTCCTTTTTTTGGTTGTTTTTTTTTTTCTAGTTTTCGGAAGAATTTTGGTTGTACTTCAGATGCCTCTGCAAAGGCTAAGGAGCAGCGGGCCTATGACATTATCAAGGAAGAGAGCAAGAAACTGGGCTCAATGAAATTTGCAGAAATAGCAGTTTTGATCCTCTTCATTCTACTGGTGGTGCTCTGGTTTACGAGAGACCCTGGTTTCATACCAGGTTGGGCAACAGTTCTTTTCAACAAAAATGACACGAGGTATCACCGCTTCTCCTCCTCACTTTGAGTGAAAATGAAGCAGGCTAGATTTCACACAAATGAAAACACGGCCAGACTAAATATCTGACTGTTCTATTGCAGCTATGTCACTGATGCTACAGTTGCCATCTTCATTTCAATTTTGCTGTTCATCATCCCTTCCAACTTTTCTAAAAAAGACAAGCAACAAACAGGTGAGTTTACTGAAGGGATCAAAAATCAACTGTCTGAATAGGTACACGGGAAGTTTTACATTTTAGCTCTCCAAGGGAAATTTCAAACATTAAACAAGATTTCAAACTGCTCTTCCTGCTTAGCTACAGCTGTACGCTTTAGGCTAGGCAAGGCACATATCCCATAAAAGTTCTCCGTTTCTTGTAATTTAACCAAGTAGGAACCCCTTCTCCCAGCAGTGTCCCAGACACTAGTATACACACACATAAAGCTTCTGAAGCTGGAATCTTCAGGAGACAATACACGACTTAACAGAAACACGTAGAGTTCTGCAGATATGCTGCCACGCTTTGAACTCACTCTTACCTTTATTCTACTACGTCTCTCGGAGCAGCTACAGATCATTCATTAGTATTTTTGCAAGTCAAGTTTTAAAATCTTTGTTGATGAGGCTCCCATCATTTGCTTTAGGAGATAATTCCACAGTCTACTTGATCTTGCTGACAGAAGTGTTTCCTGATGTTCACAATAAACTCACCACCCACCAAGAAGTCCTCCTTTCTTTGGAGGACATAACATGGCTTACAACATCTTTTTGGATTTTAGGTGGCAAGTCGAAGTTCAAAGCACCTCCAGCTCTCTTGGAATGGAAAGTAGTTCACGAGAAAATGCCATGGAACATTGTGTTTCTGCTGGGAGGTGGCTTTGCCTTAGCCAAAGGCAGTGAGGTAACATTTCTCTGCTTACCTAGTCGTTATGTCTTCCTGGGTGTTTTCCATCTTGCTCTCCCAGAACACAAGAGGGCACGCTGGGAGCACCAAACGCACGTTTCCTCAGCTTAGTGGCAGTAGGACAGACTTCATCATCCTAAGGAGGAGTCCTGAGAATAGAACAAATCTTTATTGTTGCCTACGCAACTGGGATGGTACTACCAACCAAGGCAGCATGATTAACTCTGTTTCTAGAAAAGCAGGCGATTCAGAAACTACCCCAATACATTAAAGGTTCTATTAAATAAAACTTAATTCATGTGGCGAGCGTGAGGAGGTATTGTGCCTGAGATGGGTCTCCAAACTACTTCAAACAAACTACTTACGGAAAGGTGATTTAAATTAAACTACTAGAAGACAACTGAAGAGCTAGGTGAAAGAACCTTCAGGAGCAGATAAAAACGTCTGGCTGTCAAACTGAAGGACATACTGATGCGCTTCTGCAGGCATCTGCCAGGAGTCCAGTGCTACACATTATTTTTCAGTAATGACTTAGGTGATGGAACAGACAACACATTTATTAAATCTATAGACAATAAAAAAAATTCAAAAAGGCTTCAAGTGCCTGGAAATATTAGTTTAGAATTCAAAGATCACAATGACCTGTAAAAGTGTTTCTAGAAAACAAGGATGCAACTCAATATGGGAAATAGGAAGAAATAACCAAGTATCACAAATGCAAGATGTGGAAACGACTGGATAAGTTTTAAAGCTGCTTCTACACCCCATTCTAGTCAATATTTTTATATTGCTACCAAGAAAAAAAGCAAACAGCCAGAAATTGTAGGTAGGACCACCATACATAAGACACGTAAAGACATGGCGGGGGGGGGGACTATTTGATCTTTAAGGTCCCTTCCAACCTAAACCATTCTATGAGTCTATGATAATCCTTCCACTCCAGACTGGTGAGTCCTCAGGTACAGTAATGTATTCCATTTTGGATATCAGTCTTCAACAACATGTGGGCTAAATGAAGAAAGTTTAGAGGAAGGTAGTAAGAATGATTGAATCTCTGGGAAGTATATTTGGAAAAGGAAAGATTCAAGAAATTACATTAATTTATTCCAGAACAAGCCATCACATACGTAAAAGCTGCTGCAGAAGGGAAGATATACTTTGCAATGACAGTTGCAACAACCAGTAAGGAAGGTGGGCCATAATACACGAAGAAGCAAGACAGGCACAGTTAGGTTATGTCCTCTCGAGAAGAACAGCTGAGTAATAATGATGCCCAAACTAGAGCCCAGAATGATAGGGAAGATGCTGGTATTTTTCAGTGGCTGAGAAGGATGAAAGGTATAAAAACCTTCAGAGAGTTGATCAAGATCTCAGACAATGTGATGAAGTTACAATACATCGCAAGATTGTCTGCTAAGTTATATGAAAGTATTTTAGAAAGTGGGTTCAAGGATCTTTGTTTAGATTCAAAAAAAAGCCCTGAATATTGATCACGTACAACTAATGGCCTGAAGAGAGAAATAGTTATTCGCTATCAATAACATACTGTAAATGTAGTGTCGTCTTCTTTCGAATTCTTTGGAAGGGAAAGCACGTTTATTTTTATTTAACCCACCCAATTATCATGTCTATGAGCATTGCCTCTTACATGTTTCTCTACAGAAAGCAGTTTGTATGAGAACTTCTATAAAACTGGAAGGTAGAATTCAGATGAGAAATGTAACTGGCCTGAGATGTGGCTATTTCTTCTCCAGCCAACTATCCTGACAGACCTCTCTCCTCTCTCACAGGAATCTGGTCTGTCTTCATGGTTAGGTACCAAACTGACTCCTCTGCAGCAAATCCCTCATCCAGCTATTGTTCTCCTGTTGTGTCTCCTTATTGCCACTTTCACCGAGTGCACCAGCAACGTGGCCACCACAACCCTCTTTCTCCCTATTCTGGCTTCAATGGTAAGTTCCAGCGTTTCAAAATACTCTTGGAAGAACACTTTTCAGCTCTTCTCCAAGCATACATCTGCTCAATTATAAAAAAGAACTGGCTGACCTAGCCAAGCACTGGTTCATCTATCCGATCAGGAATACGAGACTTAAAATATACATATGTGTATGTGCACGCATACATATTCACACACACTGTGCTTAGTTCAACCTTTCTAAAATCACTGCTGGTGAAAAGTAAAGGGATTAAATTCATTGGCATATTAGACTTTGCCTTCTGGCCTAAACAACCCCATGAGGTCACTGCCAGCTGTACTTGTTTTTTCCTATTTGTTCTGCGTAGAGACAGCAACAGCAGCAGCATTTGCTTCCCTGCAACATTCCATTACTGTATTTCACTCCGACCACTGGCCTTCCAGAAGTCTCTGAAGGTGATAGCATTAGTCAAGCTCTATGACCTAGTTCAGACTTCTGCATTTCCACAGGAGATTCCTGTTGCTGGGGCAGAACGTAGTTCTGCGGAGTGAAAAGCTGGTTCCGGAGAGAAATCGGAATAAGCTCCACCAAAATCTTTTTGGCACAGACTTCAGCTGACCCCTAAACTGATCCTCTCACCTTCAGAGTTTGGGCCACACTGTTTCCGCTGATAATTTGATTTTGTTCTTAACCCGTTTGAAGCCACTGTACATTTTTTCCTGGTTTTAGAGCTGAATACAACCATTGTTATTAATTTACATGGGAGCAGTGATCAGATTCCACGATCAGGAACACAAAGCACTGACCACAAAACCAATTCTTGTGTTTGCTGCACAAAGGCATTGCCTAGACATTTCTAAAGCAGAACCAAAATATGAGCGGCTGCAGTGTTTGTGAAAGAGCGAGGTTTCTGACATGGGCAAACACAATCAGCTTTCTGCCAAAAGGTTTCTATGCATTTTTGTATATCAAAACCATCATCTCTGCTCTCCCTTCGTGCATAGGCTGAAGCGATCTGCCTCAATCCACTCTATGTCATGCTGCCCTGTACGCTTTCTGCATCGTTGGCGTTCATGCTCCCAGTGGCCACTCCTCCTAACGCCATTGTCTTCTCATACGGACAACTCAAGGTTATAGATATGGTGAGCAAAAGCACATTCTTTTCAGAACTCGCCTTACTAGTTTTGATCTTTCCTTCTTCTAATATTGGTTCTTCTTGAAAGGGTGTTAGAAAACTCACTGGACTCAGCTAAAGTCAGATGGAAAGAACAACATACATGTGTGAATGAAAAAAGGGTCACGCTGACTCTAATATATACACAGAGCCGTATAAAGATGCTGTCGAGCTTTTGGAAAACACCCAGGGCCTCCTGAAGGTGTTCCAACAAGAGCTTGCTGTCAATGAGAAATGGGAATGTTGAACTGTTCCGAAAGCCTGGATGTAGATCATAGGGATGTCCAAGAGTCCTGTCATCTGGACAGTCCTTCTGCAGGGATGAGGGAAAGCCTAGAACACCTCACTAGGCTGCCCTGGTGCCCTCTCTCAATACATTCAGGAAAGACGGGGAAGGGTGCCACGTCTCTTGATAACTTTTCTGTTCATAATTGGTCCAAGAAGAAATCCTAAGTAACATTACAGACAAATGCCAGGTCAGAAGTGAAAGTCCTACATAAGTGGATTAAAAGGATTTCAGGACTTCTAGTTTAAGAGTTTTATGCCATGGAAACTCATTTTCCCCTAATACAAATCATATTTGTCAAGAAAATCAGCTTAAATGTAATTTGATGCAGTAATTTGGGCTGTGAAAAAAGACCAAAGAGAAAATCTAACTATGCAAACAGTCCTAATCAGCAGGGAAGGAAAAAAGTACCCGGTTCAACTAATAACGCTCTTTTATAATTCTAGGCCAAAGCTGGGTTTATACTCAACATCCTCGGAGTCCTGACGATAACTCTAGCCATCAACACCTGGGGTTCGTCTTTGTTCCAACTGCAAACTTTCCCATCTTGGGCAAACAGGACAGGTACATGCCCATAACACGGAGAGGCAAAGGAACCAATAACTCTTCCTGTTAGAACTGCAATGAGAGCAAGACTATCATCTACACCAGTTTTGCCGAGGCAGTGGTTAAGAGACAGGCGTGTTCCGTGGAAAAGGACAAGCCACCTACGAGCAAAATCATTCACTTGATAACAGCAATAAAATTGCCTAACAGTGCTGTTTAGCGGGCAATTCTGTTACCCCAGCAGTAAGACGAGGTAACCTTTGGCTTTTCAACTGTTCCAGGGATCTTTAGATTTTCTGTCTCAGCAGGGGTAGGTTTTCCCCAAGTACTCGCCACGTCGCTTTTCAAGCTCCGCCTGTAAAGTCTGGAATCCGCAGTGAGAAAGAAGAGAGAGGTGTGTGTGTGCAAAAGGAAGGAGAGAGACTCTACGTACCAGATTTCATGCATCTAACTGCATATTGTCACAACTTATACGAATATTCACCTGTATAGGTGTATATGTTCAAAATGTACACGATTGTTATATACTCTGTGGGCATTCACAGCAAGGCACGTCTTGTATGATTACAGGCAAATCACATACCATCCGCCCATTCTATTACTTTGAAAACGTATTTATTTGCAGTCCACTCGTTATGAATGTAAAAAACCATTTTTTCCTAGAATATCTGTCCCACTGTTATTTATGTAAGATTACAGCCTGCAAGGTCGGGATAAGAATAGCAATATTCTCTTGAGAAGGGGACAATCCCTGTGTCTTAAAATATGTATGATTGAATTAAAGATATTTTTTTTCTATACCCACCGTGTTATGGAGGTTTTTTCCTATGATATATCACCGCTTCTAGTTCTGTCTTCCATGTATCAAGTGCTTGCCTGTGTGCTTCCTTAAAGTATCTTGAAATAATCAACAAAGTTAACATAATTGATTTTCTCTTATCGTTTATTACTTTGTTATTAAGAGTCCCATTTTCTTGGACTCTCAAAACCAAGTTCTTTCTTTTCAAAAGCCCCTCATAGAGTTAAGTATTTAATCCCTATTCTGCTGGAACTGACTTTCAGTAGCACATAGACTTCCAATGACCAAACTGACAAAGATATGGGAACATCCAAAGATACTTTGCCGAATCAAACACTTGGTACCATAAATGAGGTCGGGTTCAGCTATCCAATATGTGCCCGTGAACTTTGCACCGAATGCTTTGTTCTGTTCTTGCCCAAGTTTTGCAAAATGTCTATTGCATTTCTGAAATCCCACTTGAACCCTACTGGTTCCATGAGAGTGAACGCAAGTCAATGTCACTCTAAAATAGTATGCCCGCTCTTCAAAATCTTTCTTCTTTCTTTCTCTACCCTAATTATTAGGAGACAAGGACAAAGTGCAGTGTACATGTGATTCATAAAATGTTAGAATTCACTGACCTGCAGTAGTTTCTTTATAGTTCCAACTGTCAAGACAATTCTGGTATCTGCTGATCGCGGATCCCCTTTGCACCAATAGTGTCACTGGCCTGACAACCACAGTTGCTCTGGAAAATCACTGTCCCAGACAGGACAGTCTCATATTAACCCTTCAGTGGCTTTGAAAGGTAGTGTTTTGACTCGATATGTGATAGGGATCCAATAGAATATCCACAGCGCAAGAAGGAAGGACATTTATTCTCTTTTGCTAATGAGCTCCTGGGTAACTGATTCCAATCACATAATGACTTGCTCAGGTCACTGCTAAACCACTCACCTTCCTTCCCTTTGCATTTACCTCTGTCAAATAACATCCAAATCGGTCTAAATATTTTCATTACCCTGCTCACCCTGTGTCTGGGCACCTAACAAAATGACAAACTCAAGCAGATGATTTGCTGAAAACCTCTCCCTTCTTTGCTCTTTGTCTCCAGCAGCCGGGCAGCGTGCACAGCTTTTGTTTGCTTTTTTGTTTTCTTTGAAATACTTGCACATCGTTTACATGTTCTTCTAAATTACTGCTTAGCTAAGCAGGAAACGTGGAATTCTTAGAACATTTCCCATCAGCCTCTCCTTCCAGCCCTTTAAAACTGTGTTATGGTTCTTTGAAGTCTTTTCTATTAGTCTACATTATTCAGAGGCTGCGGTGTGCATAAGTACATGTAGGAGCACAGGTGCAATCTTTCTGGCGATCTCGAGAAGAAAGAAGAGAGACATCAAGTAGCACAGAGTGTCGTGGGGCCGGCGCAGTAATGCTGGGTGTTCCATGTTCATCAGCATGCATGAGCATATAAAGGTTAGAGACGTACCAGAAAATGACTGCAGCAAAAGTTACTCAAGGGGTATAGAAAGGCTCCGCTTCCAGAAGAAGACAGGCGAAAAACTGTCATCTGGAGAGAGAGAAGAAAAACTAGCAATAACACCAGGACATAAAGAGAACGGGGAATTTCATGAATAGTTTCCACCTTGAAGTGATGGTAGTAGCAAGTAGGCACTGGGCAGTCGATTGCCTTGGGTGTGTCTGAGCGCCGGACCAGTTGAGGTACAGCTAAATATAGTGTGCTTGTGCGAAAACTAGTAACACCATTAAAAACGTTCATAATTTTCTAAGCAAAGCAGGTAGAAAGTGTTTCTAAGCCCCATTATTACACAGATCACCTTTGAAGGGTGGTTCCCCATTATGTTTCCAGATAATGCCCTCAAGGAGTGGCTCTATTTCCCATTGTGCGATCAAATTTCACAATCTTCTGTGAAACTGCCAGCTCAGCACCTGCTGCAGTTAGGTGTGATTTCCAATGCAGCTCTTCATTTCAGAGTTGACACTAAGTTTGTTTTACATAGGACTCGTCAGTGGTAAATTTGTTAACGAGAAGGGGACATCTGCCTTCTTGCCTGCCTTCTCGAAAAAGCAAGTGCTCTACAAAACCACAAAATACAGGTTTCCCACAGCAGAGGCCAGTGAGTAAGTGGGTGACTCGCAGTCACCTCCTCCATTTTCCCTGGAGTTATGGTGCTGCCTTGCCTTGCCTTGCCCAGACACACGCGCACACACACACACACGAGTTCTACAGGCACATACGTGTACATCGGAGAGAATATGAAGGACTTATCCTGGTAAAACACATTTCTGTGGCGCATGACCACACCAGAAAACCAGGTGAATTTTAAGCAGGCTAATACAACCATGAAAACAGTTTTCATTTGAGAAAGGCACTTCATGAGAAACATCTTGACAGAAGTTTGTAAAGCGGCACGTAAATGATGCAAGGATCACTTCATCAAGCACTGAAATCACAAACAGACTTCACAGAGCACATGGCAAGTTTAAAGCCAAAAGAGGATAAAGAAAGCACGTCTTTTTAATCCTCAAGTTGGTTTGGAGAAACCAAAAATTTGCTCCCAGTCACTTAAAAGCTATTAAAATGAACTTCAAGGAAGCCTTGTTGTATAGCACTGAAACCTTGAAATGTATCCAGATCTTACAATTTAATTCCTAAGCTTTCATTAAGAAGAAAGGAAAAAAAAAAAAAAAACCAAACCCAAAAAACCCACAAACTGCTTTGAAGGAAGCCTTATTGTATAATGGACATAAAATAATTCTCAAAAATATGAAAAATATTTTCAGAAAACAAACTGCAAACCAACAGAAACACGCAGGTCCTGTGTTTTATCCAGTAGTCATCAGCACGTATGTAAATATGGACCTTTCTCCAGAAGCTGTAAGAGCAGTTCCACTCTCGTCCCTGGAGGTAATTCCTCCCTCAGATAACTATGGCATGTTGGCAGTAGCGTGCATCTTAGTCCAAAACCCCAACTCTCTCTGTTTGGCATATTTATTGCAGGAATACAACTCTTTGCTCTCAATTAGCACGTTGGTTTTAGTGTTTGCAAAGGCAGAGACAGAGTTTAGAATTTCTGCAGTGATGACGAGCCAAATAAAGAACAGAAACTAGAAATACATGGACTTAGGAAATACGCAACTTTAAATCATCAAGGAATTTCACAACCCTCAATTTTTTTCCAACACAGAACCAATAAAACTATTTACAATTTGATTCACTGAACTTTATGATTTGGGTTAGTAATGACTGAGGTGCCAAAGTCTGGAAATGAAGTGGTTTCAATGTACTAATCACTCGGTGTCCAAAATAACAACTGTTTAATAGAACTTAATCACTACTGTCAATGCTGTGCATTTTCTCCTATTAAAGAAACATTTAATATTATTTATCCTTTAATCATACTAACAGACCGAAGACGTGGGGCTGCTATTCAGGATGCACAAATTCCCTCACCGTGTGCCATCTAGTGGCTGCAGGCTCTCTACCAGGCCATGCCCAAAATTCCCAAATCCAGGCCAAGCACCGAGTCTGGTGTCGGTCTTCCTCGGGAAACACCCTCAAATAGCTAAGGGGAAACTAATGGGACAAGAGGAACACTTCCCAAAGGCAGACCGTGACAGCATAGCTGCAAAATTAGAAGTATGATAATCAACCCCATTAAATAAAAGTTGGTCGAAGTTGTCAAAAAAGGAAAAAAACAAACCACAAACTGAAATGCAGAGAGAGAAGGCACAGAACGCTTAATGCACAGGTTCAATCCTTATATACTGTTATGCATCATTTAGATCAGAGCAGATGCAACTGCTTCAAGGCTCAGAGCCTGTGTAGGTATCCCGATAAACTGTTATTTGTGACTGATGGCCCTGTACTTGAAATATTAACGTTAAGTATGACCATCTAAAACATCCGAACTTTACTCTGCTTCAGGTTTACACTATTCAGCCGACTTTAGATTAGTATTCAGGTTCTCTTGTCAACCTAGCAGCGTTCCAGGAATTTCCTCCTTCCTCTTGATCCCTCTCCAGTCTACGAGAAGCGGAGCAATTTCAAGTTTTCCCAATACCCACCACTGGGACCTAGGGCTCTCCATTCTTTGGAAGGGGAGGGAAAGCCCTAGGACACCAAATTTCATTAATTCTGCTGATCACAGAGCTGCTTGGTTTTTTTCTATAAAGCAAAAGGAAAAGCGGTCAGAGTTGTCCGTGAAGCTAACGTCCATATTAATGCGGAATTGCCCAATGCTGGAAGAGCAAGCTGTGTGCAGGAGCAGAAGGGGAACACAGTCACGGTACAGTTAGCTGTTATGGCACCAGTTTTCCTGGTTCCTATCAAGGGGATCTTTGACGGTGAGCGGTGGTTATTCTGGAGCAGTTGTAGCGACTGCAAAAGGAAAGTCACATTTCCCTTTTCGCTGTAGGAACTATCCTGATGAGACTTGCCAGAAAATTCAAAAGGATCCTCTTTATTTTTTAAGATGTCTGTCACCCGAAGGGAGTTTGAATTTTCCTCCCCATCCTTCCCTCTGGCAATATCATTCCTCCTCCATGAAACATGCAATCATAAATCACTTGTCTGCATTGCAGATAACACGGTTGTACAATGCAGGCTTCCTCACACCTGCGCTTTCTCTTTTCTCCTTAGACCTAAGCGAGCGGTGTTGCGGTGTCGGGAGCTACAACCGGTACTGAAGAAATAGTAGTTTCGGAAGATACTATCCAGCCAATCTGAAATAACCTTTGTAGTTCCTTTAGTGTTAACATCTTTATCATTCAGGCTACACAGAAAATAGTCACGTCTTCAGACTTTGTTTGGATGGCTTTTAGAGACTTGCAAAGCGTAGGGATCGAGACAGAACAGTTTTTCCTCTAATTAGTGGCCAAAGCCAACGACCGCAGGTAGTGCTGCCGTCCCTCCGGAGAGTCACAACTGCAAGATCAGTGGATGGCACAGAAAAAAAAACAATTCCACTTTCATGCGCATACATTATCTCTTCATTTAAGATGCTCTGACAGTTGATAGAAAACATGGTGTATGGACAAGACAAAAAACAGTTTGTGAACGATATTGGGAAAAGGATGAATTACAGCTGCGCGGGGGCATCCTGGCTCCAGAAACAAAAGCCTTTCCCCGCAGTGTGCACGGGGTGTGTGGAAGTGCAGGAGTTCATCCTGTATGTTTCTATATTTTGGCAGAGATACCTTAAGAAAAAAAAAAAAAAGGCAACAAAAAAAAATAACAACAAAAAAACACCCCATGCAGCTTATTTGCCTAGAAGAAAAATCTTTGGTCTGTTTACGCCGTAACCACACACCTGTATCTCAGAAACGGGAGACAATTGATGGGGAAAGGGGAGGGGACCGACATCTTTAGCTTCCTCTGCACCAGGTGCAGTCGAGTATGCAATATCTTTCTAGCCACTATTTTGAACCAGTGCCACTTTTGGCCGACTGTAACTGCTGAACAGCCCCTGCAGGGAACGACTCCAAAACATGCCCATGCTCTCCGCTCCAGCAGGAGCAGTTTTACCTGGAGCCCTGGCGGGTGCATACGTAAGTCAGCCAAATCCCGAAACCATTGGAGCCCAGCTGCAGTTCCCCCCAGTCGCAGAGAGGCAAAAGCACTAAATCTTGTGCCGAACGATTGTATTGATTCATTTTCCTTACAGGAGGCACCGCTTAATGTCCCATTGCTGCCAGTTTCATGTTCCGTTTTCACGGGGCATAAATGCGGCATGAAGGAAACTTCTCATCTTGCCACAACGCAGCGGTATCACGCAACATCAGGGTAAGGGGACGGGGACAGAGCTGGACAAGACGTCTGCCCCGACTCCTTAGTTCCTGGAACTAAAGTGCAATTACAGTAAAATCCATCTGGATCAACTGGAACCAATCTGGGTGTCTGGTTCTCCTGAACATGATTGTTTGATACTCCTGGACAAACAGGGAAGAAGCAAAGAGGGTTATAGATACAAAGAATAAATTGATTTTTTTTATTATTTTTTTTTTTTTTTTACCAGGACAACCCTCTTCATGTCACGAGAATGACAGAAAAACAGGCTTTGTGTCTGTTACGGTAGCAGCCACATGAATAAGAGCAAAGTAGCTGCTATCCCAATGCTGATTACACGAGACCAGACACACCGCTCACGATCAAAACAGCAAATTTACTTCCTATCGCTATTCCTTTTGCATTAACAACATCTCTTCAGTAATAGCGTGACACGAAATCGTTCCGTATTCGCCGAAGCAGAATAAGCAATGCGAAACTGTCTTAAGAAAGTACGTTTTGCCACAGAGGACGTGACGAAGCAAAAGGCCTGATGTGCTCTCTCAACTACTCCGCACAGACAGCGATGGGTGGAACTGGACGGTGCTGCTCAAAGGGACTCCGCAGTGTCGCACTCGCCCACACTGAAACGCGCGCAGTATTTCTGTCGCTTTTATTTCTTGAACCTGGCTGCACGCAAGCCTACAAATCAGCGAAAGCAAAGTCTCTGTTTAGGAACTTATATCGTCATTGGGAAAGGAACATTTAATATTCTTTGGCGGTGATTAACATGAACTCTGCGTTAGAGTTTATAAATACGATGAGTCTTTAATTTACACAACAAGTAGAGTAATAAAGATTAGAGGAAAGAGCTTGAGAGGGAGGGAGAAATACCTTCATATCTAACTTTGGCTGCTAACACACTCTAATTACAATTAGTCTCACAACAGAATATTTCAGGAGTCGGTACGTTTCGGCATAAGATTTAAAAATAGCCAGGTGCCGTATACACCGTGTCAGCGCAAAGAGTTATCGAACATGTACGACAGCAGAATGCCTGGTTTTCCTTTAAATCTTACGCAGGTTATTTTTCATCATGAAAGAAGTACCTGCATCTTTGGCAGTTGTAAAAATATCATGCATGGCACCACCTGCCAGACTAATAACAATAATTAGAAATGTAATAAACTGTTCACTGGCAAGGTAACAAATTGTCTTATCCTTTGAAAGTCACACTGGCCCCAGGCAATTCCTCACAGACATTTGCCACTGATGTCACAAGAGCCCGAGTGAAAAGCAAACTGTGCAAAAAAACAAGAGAGGAAAAAAAAAAAAAGAAAGAAAAAAGAAAAAAAAAACCACTGGCAAAGAAACGTTCAAGCAACATAGAGTAGCTGCAGTGGGTTCTCATTTTACCGGACAAACCATTAAAACTGAGGGCTTACAAGGAGTTGGCAGTGAAGGTGAATTAATCCTATCGCTTCCTATGAAACCTCACAGACTGGAGCCTTTGGAGAGTCACAGGAACTCATAATACTCACCCAGGAAGATAAAACATTTTAAGCTGAATTTAGAATTAACACTTCACTTGCAATTACTTCTTTTTATGCTCCCTAATTCTTTTCATCTTTTGTACAACAATCTTCCAAAAAAAATAATTTGCATTGAATACCTTCTGTGGGGGGTTGCTCTGACTCTTCGTATCTCACGCATCTAATTTAAAATCTGGCAATCTGAGATCAATATTTCTTTCTCACTGAAGCTCCTCTAAGTGCTAAAGCAATCTCGGATTGTCTGCCAGATAGAAATGAATGGCCTGTTCAGGATTTTTACCTCCCATTATAAATTTTCCATTTGAACAGACCGCACAATTTCACATTGCTTGTTTTCTAAGAGAGTGTTTAAAACCATCCTCAGCAATGAAAATGTGGTTTCATATTTTCATGACCTTATAATGTTTATGACCCCTCTTCCATGCAATTTGTTTTATGTCTAAAAATCCATTTGCACTCTCTGAAATGTAAAAGCCATCCAGAAATCTCTGAACATAAAACATTTGCTTCGGTCCCTGCCCTTCCTCACCCATCTCCCAGAATATATGCAGGCGCTCGAGAGAACACAGCTACCGGTTCCATGCTTACAGACAACTGAAGAGAAGAAAATCAAGTCATAAGCGCTGCATAAGCACTTCTTTCTGAGGCTTCTGATGATTTCACAGTCCCAGTAAAGTCATCTAGGAGGGGCCCATGCCAGGCAGCAGCCTGCTTTTGTTCTTTGCTTTGTACTAAGCAGGGAGGGACGTTGCTGAGGTACAACACTTTGAGTATTTACATGATTCATTCCTTCTTTCATTGAATCATTTTCTAGTTTCTAAGATAATACCTCTGGGATGATTTCAGCTGCTCTTTGCGGAAGCGCGAGGTTTTATGTTTTCCACTATTGTGTGTGAAGATAAAGATGAAGGAAGGATTGCCCAAGCGAGATGTGAAAAGCTTTTGGGCAGGATGGGGGGAACCTCTCTTGCACAGTTCTGATGACTGACCTGACGGCTCCAAAGCCTGGCGTACACGAGGGAGGAAGGTCGGCTCAGAGCCTGACGAACAGCCGGGTACGGCTCCGCCGCCCTCCTGCTGAACGCACCGCGTATTTCCCCAAATCCAAGCGATGCTCTAGACCGGGTCAAAACATTCATCCCAGGCTGTGTTTGCGTTATAATTGGTTAGGAAAACTCAGGTATGCTGTTTCTTATGAATGTCCCAGGTACACCCTTCCCACTTTCTGCCTCAAAATCAACACAATGAGAGCTGGTAGAACTTGAGTTAACCCCTCGGAGTGGTGGTATTAAGCTTTGCCTATAAATGCTGCAGGTATAACTATGTTCTCTTAACGAGCTTGTAAGAAACTCATGTTTCCAGCACTAAACTGGAGTTGTATTCCTAAAACAGTTTTCCTGCAATACAACTCTACTAATCCTGTGGATGCGTCTGTATTTCCCACATTAATATGGACGGTGCATTTTGGGAAGCTTGGGACAAATGTGCCCCCCAAAGTCTTTGGAAGTGGAGAAACGCTAAAAGGGTGTGCATGTATTGGCACTGGCCGCTTATGGAGCGCTGTAGTTAGGATCATCCCAGCACACTCCAAGAAAGGAAGAAGACAGACCAGTTGTACTGGTTATTAGACATGGTTAAGGGGCTAAAAAAAAAAAAAAAAAACCAAACCAACACACACACACTTCTGCCAAGCCAGTTATAAGAAGATAATCATGTGCTAGCCTCAGCCTCTGGCAGGAGTAAAACACTGTTAGCTGTCTTCTAGTTAGCTAAATATTAATCATCCTGTTTAGAACCAATCATGTCACTAACTGGTTAGAAACTTGGTTAAAGGTTGTGGTACAGAGAAGGTGTACTGTTTTATCTCCAGCTGCAGTATTCCTAGACTTCGACAGAAAATACGTCGAGCGAGGCAACCGCAAAAGCAAAATTCCCGTTGTTAGCAAATTCGTGAGTTTTTTTGAGAGGGGAGCAGGAGGTTCTGCGAGCTGAGCAGCGCAGCAGGTCCTGAGC